GTGGCTGTATTAGCAGGTAATCCAATCGAGTATATCAGGGAGGAGGCTCTTCTGTCTATGATGGATATTGAGTATGGGAGTGGAGACCCTGTTCTTGTGATGATTCAGGTGTTGGAACTTGGGTTGAGAAGTCGAGGCTGAGGAGTACGATGATTTATTGTTTCAGTCTAAGAGTCAGTTATATTACTGGATAGTCGAGATGTTCGGTATTGGGATGGTATGAGACTTTAAACAACTAGAGTCAGTCGTGATGAGAAGTTCCTAAGGACTTCTTCTGAGATTCAGGGTATTTGAGGTTGCTTGATCTCTTTAAAGGAGATTATCAGGCATTACGTAGCACCTTCGAAGGGCAGGTGCGATATTGCTAGTGGAAACAGTCTGTAGGATGGTGTGTGCGTCAATTGGTGATGGTTCAAATCCTAAGTCGGGGGAGAACCGGGTATTTTATTGAGGGAACCAGAGATTTGTGAAAGAGAGGGTAGAGGTTGGATATAGAAATCTGCAGCTCGAATTCATGAGGCCAGGGTCATTGGTGATCAAAGAAAGGTGCAGAGCAAGATAATGCATGTGGTATGTGTCTGAGAAAGGATGGGTGTCTCCTTGGCAGTTAGCTAATGGTCAGGAATCCGGTGGTGGCCAGGGTCGTTTCAAATGGAAGACTCGTATCGATGGTATGGGCAGTCGAGGACTTCTGGGTCGAAGTATGGATTATTTATGCCCTTTCTAGGGTGGATAGAATATTACTAAGCAACCAACTCCCAGGCCGGTATGTGTATACTTTCTTGGATTTTGAGTAGTAGGGGAAAGGGTTTCGGAGGATCATCAGCGTGTTCTGAAGCGTTAGCGCCTTCTTTGTATTCCAGTTGAATGTTTCAATACACTGAAGTTGCGCATTGGGTAAAACGAGGAATTATTTATGGAGTTAAGAGGAAATGTGTTGTTGTACCTATATGGTACTGGGAGTAGGAGATCAGTGGTTAAGGCAGGACATCGTGATGTTCAGTAACGATGTTCCGTGGTGATCGGGTATAATGTTCCGATTTCGGAGTTATTTATCATCTTGAGTTGGGATGACTAGTGGTGTATCATGTATTTTTAGTTCCAGTGGGAGCCCTTCGGGTATTGGCATCAAGAGGGATTATTTAAGAAAGTGGATCTCCATAGAGGTAGGTATTTTGTTATAGCGGTTGCCGCCGGAGTCTGTGATGCATATGTGGGGCAAGTGTGTGTAGCTATCTATGATAGTCTACGTAGCATGAGTTAGTGGGCGTAGTGTGTCGTTATGATGAGAATAAGAGTATAGGGTGAAGCTACGGGGAGCCGTAGTATGCACTATTCATAGGGTGTTGTGATGCTGCGGGGAGCCGTAGTACTCACAAGTCAGAGAGAGGAAGTCGTGGTACTATGGGGAGTCGTAGTAATGACTAGTTAGAGGCTGTCATGTTATTACGGGCAGTCATAATACTCACTAGACGGAAAGAGAGTGTGATCTTGGAATGTACCCCGATCAGGGTATGATGCAGAAAAGTTTTAGGCTTGAGTAGCCTTAGTATAGACTTTTTGGAGCCTAGTGGTTGAACCAAGGGTGGAACTGGAGGTCAGAGTTGAGTTGATCCTCAGTTGGATTGTACTTTTCGTATAAGGAAAAGAGAATTTCACGACTTGTGAGTCACTGGGCCGGGATAGTGGTCAGGGGGAGGAAGTTAGTGAGATATTTTGGATCATGTTATAGATGATCTTTGGAGGTTTAGCTGTGGAGTCAAAAGCTAACCTGGTACTCAGTATCGAAGTGGGATATGAGAAATGAGCTAATGTTTGTCATGGTGATGTCTGAGGACACTTCAGGGTGAATGGATGATTCAGACGCTCGAGGAGATGCTTCGAGCATGTGTATTAGATTTCAGAGGGAGTTGGGACACTCAATTACTCTTGGATGTTGTATAGGAGGAGGTGTCGGACCCCCATTTTATGGGAAGAGGTTGTGCATGGACCCGAGAGTCCTTGCGAGCCGATTCAGAGCATGTACGATACATGGAGTAGCGGTTACTCTACGAGGGATAGTGTAGAGTGGGGTGTGAGCACCGTGACACTTGTTTGAAGTGGCAAGGTTGTCAAGTAGATTTCCATAGGTAAGGAAAGAGAAAGATAGGTAACTCCGGGAGGAGTGTTGGTTCACGGAAGTGAAAGCAGTAGTTAAAATGGATGATTAAGAGTAGGGTGGTTGAACACTGTGTCTGTGCCAGTGGTATGGAAGCGCATCCGGGTTGGGTGTCTGTTGAGGTTGCAGAAGAATCTCTGGTGGTTTAGAACGAAAGGAGTTTGGAGGAAGTGCAAGGATAGAGCCTTGGATTTAAGTATGGTTGTGATTAGGAGGTTATCTATATAGTGGTAATTCATCATGGGGATGTTTGATGGTATCGTCAGTATGTCGGGTTTTTCCAACCCGAGGATGTAGAACAGGCTCAACATGTGTACGCGATTGCAGAGGAGAGCTCAGGAGAGAGTTGTTCAGGAGTTGAAGGATGGTTCATCCTGTCAACACGGAAAGAAAAGAGTTGGATTTGGTTTGAAAGCGGGATGAGTCCCGGGAGTGAATTCGATAAAGGTTATGCTAATCAAGGAAAGGGATAGCATTTTGGTACCGGGTCAGGACCCGGTGGTCCGGGGTGATGTCTAGTTGTGTAAGGGTCAAGCGATCGTTGTCGTTTGGAGCGAGTGAAGTATCATGGAGTGGTACTCGGTTGATAAGTGTGGGTATCAGAGGATGAGGCGGTGGTCAGGACACCGCAGGGGAAGAGTTAGGTTGTGGGTTTCGGTGGTAGTGTTTTGAGGAACCTGGTTTAGTTAATGCCAGGTGGTGCATTGCGAGAGTAGTTTCTGGAGTTGTGTTGCCGCAGGCTTCGAGGATGAAGCTTAATTTAAGTGGGGGAGAATTGTAACATCTTGAGTTCAAGGGTGCAAAGTTCAGGGTTTAAAGTGAAAATGTGAATTATCAACTTAGCGAGTCCATGGGTAGACTCGGCGAGCAGGGTCACGATTCTGGTCACGTGTCTAGTGGCCAACTCGGCGAGTCGGTGGCTGGACTCGGCGAGTTGGTGCAGTGTGGAGAAAAACCTAATCCCAGGGATTTGGCCCTATATAAAGAACATAATACCCTCTCCCTAGCTTCTTTGCTCTCCCTTGAAGTCCAGAAACCCTAATACTCGTTGTGAGAGAATTAGAGAACATTTGGATCTTGAAGGAGTGTTTGTTAAAGAGATCTTTGAATATTAAGAGGCTTGGAGAAAGGAGCTTTTCAAGGTTTTGACTTATTCTTCTGTTGGAGCCTTCTTTTGAGATATTGAATCGTTCCATGAGCTGTTATCCATCTAGATCTATCATTTGTGGGATTTTTGGATGTATATCTAGTGCTATCTTGAGGATGGAGGTTAGATCTGAGGTTGCTACCTCAGATCTAGAATAGTGATGATCCAAAAGAGCATAAAGTCCCTGATTAAGAGCTGTTGATGAAGTCTTTTAGCACCAAACCTTATCCCAAGAGTGTATTATGCTTAGATCTCCTTTGTTTCACGTAAAGTTTGCCACTTTACGTGAAGGATGGCTTGTATAAGAGTGGATCGATGGATTAGAGACCCTGTATGGCTTGGAAAGCCTTTGTATGGGTTAAAAGCTAGTGGTACTCGGTGAGTCACATGGGTGTACTCGGCGAGTTGCATGAAGATAGGAAGAAACTCGGCGAGTTGGCTGAAGATAGCCTTGGGCTCGGCGAGTCTGTTCTTGGACTCGACGAGTCTGGTCTTGAGGTCCTAACCTTTTCTGGTTAAGCTGAGAATCGGTGAGTCAAGGGATGACTCGGTGAGTTAAGTACGGTTTGACTCAGAGTTGTGGGACTCGACGAGTCTTGGGGCGACTCGGCGAGTTGAGTCGTGTTATGGGAGTTTCAGAGCATGGGGACTCGACGAGTTAGCGGGTTGACTCGGCGAGTAGAGTCAGTCAGGAGGGTTGGGTTTGACCGAGGATTTTGACTTTTACCGAGAGTTGACCAGTTGACTTCCAGGGGTATTTTGGTTGTTATTGGTATTTATTGGTTTCGGTGATTCAGTGGTGGAGTTCGTGACGGTGGTCGGAGGAACATGATATTGTTCTTCCGTCGGCAGTAGCAGGTGAGTCTTCTCACTACACTTTACCTAGAGTGGTAATAGAGTTATGTGACAAAGTTATTGTATGCTATCTATGTTATGTGTGGCACTGCGTTATTTCTATGTGATTTATGCTATGTGTATATCAGAGTTAGGACCGCAAGGTCCACAGAGCTAGGACCAGAGGATCTACAGAGTTAGGCTTAGAGTTATGTGCCAGTGTAATTGTATGCTATTTATTTTATGAGATTTATTGTGATATGTGATATGCATGATTCTAAATTATCAGAGTTAGGACCTTTGGGTCCGTAGAGTTAGGACCAGAGGGTCCACAAAGAGTTGGGACCGGAGGGTCCCACTGAGACACACAGACCAGAGGGTCAACAAAGTTATAGCCTTGAGTGGCTAATATGTGTTAGAGTCATATTTTGGGAACTCACTAAGCTTCGTGCTTACACTGTTTTGTGTTATATGTTTCAGGTTTCTCAGGTACACGGGACGACACTGGCTGGATTGTACACACCGTGGGAAGCGTTTGTTTGAGGATCCTGGTTTATTAATTGATTGAACAAAAGAGTTATGTATTGTAAATTAAACAATTGGGATTTTTATGAAAAGTGTTAAAGAGATAAACTATTTTAATTTTCAAAAAAATTGTTTAAAAAATTACGGTGTTACATATATTCTCATAACTATATAGCTTCTTTGGATCACCATTGTTCAAAGTAGGAGGATCATTTTGATGAAGCCTCAAGACACTTAGAATTTGACACTACTTTTTTCATTTCTTCTTCGATTTCAGCTTTCCTTTATTCCTTCGATTTTTCTACAACAACCCTTTTTCCTTTCCCCTTATATGTTTCAGTTTCCTTGGGTTTCAAATAAACAAAACTTCTGAGTCAAAAACTCAAGGGTTAAGAGAGATGAAGATCCATACTTCGAAACCATCTCTTTCAGTTCACTGAGCATAGCATCAAGCTTCCCAAAACTTGTATTATCACCAACTGCTTTGTCTTCAATCTTGGGAATAAGAGATTGATAACACTCTACCACTTTTGTTACATCCGCTGCAACAATATCCACTTTCGAAAGTAGAGAATAGTAATTGGTACTCAACTCATTAATTTCTTTTTCCATGTCAACTTTCAATTCCTCAAGCTTTCGATTTACATCTTCTCTTACAGTCTGGACATCCTTAACGAAGAGAACATGTTGTTCCTTCGCAACTAGTATCACTTCCTTGATTTCACTATTGAAAGTGTCAGATTGAGCTTTGACTCGAAGCTCATTGTTTTTATCGATTACATCTAGCTTGTGTTGAAGTCGAAGCTCCTAAGATTTGAGCATGACACCGACTTCAATGCTAGACATAGAGTGTTTGCCTCCGGTATCTGCTTGTGACTACAGTAAAGAATTGAGTTTTCTATTGAGAATTTTAAATTGTTTTCCCCGCATAAGCATACTATCTAGGATTTCTTCTTCTTCAGGATCAAATTGTAGGTCAACGAATGAACCTCCAAACCCTCCATCACAAGTTTCATCATCATTTATTGTTTTGGGTGGTTCAGTAGATTGAGACAGAAAGAGAGGAGTAATTGGTTGTTTCATGACTTGATCAAAAGTTGGTGAATGAGTGGATGTAGAAACATTTGTGAAAAATGGTGGTAGAGAAGTAGAGGTATGAATAGTAGAGGTTTCGAAAATACCTTGAGTAGTAGAAAATGGGTTTTCTTTGTTCGAAACTCCTTCACCCATGTCAAAATTTGCATATGTATAAGATACGTGTGCATGGATGCCTAAGGTTCGAACCTCCTCATTATATTACTTTGTTAACGAAACCTCGGGTGGTATGACCGAAGTCTGCATAGGAGTTGTTATTTTTGTTGAGTCACCAAGAAGAGTAGATGTGTCCACTATTGAAGTTTTCATAGAGCTACTTGAAATTCCTATCTCCTCGAAATTCGATTTGACAGGAGATTTCTTCTTAGATGAAACTTGACCCATTGGTGATTCAGGAACTGCTTCGTCGTCCATGGAGTCTTCCTGAAGTATCAACTTTCTCTTCTTTTGTTTCTTGTAAATATTTTTAGAAACATTCTCAGCCCTTTGCTTCTTAGATGATGGAGAAACAGGTACAAGTATTTTACGAATGATAACACCTTTCCGAGTTACTTGAGGCTTTTAAACCATTGAAGGTGAAAAGCTGGATGAAGTTTCAGGATAATTTCTTGACCGATGAGCTTTCTTTTTAAGGCGCTTTAACACACCATATTTCAAAGGAACTATCTCCTTTGAAGCCTCAGTTGTTTCAGTCTCAATAAGCTTTACGAATATCTATGAAACCTTGACTCCCTCTACAAACTTTTTCTTTGGTGACATAGTCATTTTCTCCACTATAATAGGTTTCAAAGGACTAGTTTCAACAACCTTCTTAGGCTTTTGTGATTTCTTTGAAGAAGCTTCATCAGAACGTGGTTGTAAAACTCTAGTCTCGATAGAATGACTAATTGTCTATAAATATGCCATTAACACAGGATTTGACTGATCAACCTTTTTGAGCATTGCATTTGGAATTCGAGCAATTGATGGAAAATCATCCACATTATCTTCAATAACCTTTGGGTAGTGATACTTTACAAACTCAGCCTTTGGTTCATCAACAAACACCTGAGTACCTTCCTTCTTATATACCTATTGAAGAATTAGACTCCAATACCTAGCACAAGAAACCCCATCCACAATGTTGGTATTCTCAATGCTCTTAAAGAACTCGTTCCACATCTAAGTTTCATTATCCACCAATAGTTCATAATATATGCGAGCAACCATAGCATGCACCTTTAGTCTTCCTTTATCCAAACCTACACTTCGACCAATTAGACATCGAAGATAAATGCCAAAGAGAAAATTCTAAATACAAGGAAGGCTTGATTTCTTGAACTCGCTTACCTTGCTAAGAGTGGGTTGATGGGTTGATAACCCATATCATTGAACATATGAATCACCTGTTCATTAGTAACCTTATAGAATGGTGGAGAATTTGGGATATCGAGAATCTGAGCAAAAAGCTTCTTGGACAAACAGAAATTCTTGCCATTTACCAGATTGAATGTAACTGTCGGCAGTGTCTTGTTGTATGGTGCAGTGGAACCAGTAATTGAGAGCCAATACATCGGAACTTCAAACGAACTGAACATTACAGTTGATAAAACTCAGTGTTTCAGAGCAATAATCAACATCTTTAGTTCCTCTACATAAACAAGAAACATCACCATCAACTTAATTGTAACAGCCGGAGTTTGGGTATGTAATTTTATTTTCTTGAATTATAATTTTGTTGGGGGAACTGAACAAGTTGGTGCCTCAACTCGTCGAGTAGAGTCTTACCTATTGATGCGGTTTATCGACCGTACTCGATGAGTCGGTAATCTGACTCGCCAAGTCGGTGCTGATTAGGAAAACCTTAATTCCCGAGTTTAGGAGCCTATTTAAAGATCTTTATAGCCTTCATTTGCGGCCACCTTGTTCCAGAGAAACCCTAGATAGCAGAAATACTGAGTTTGAGGGCAAGAGGAGGCTATTTCTTCATCTTTTGTGTGATTTTGCTAGAAGGGAGCTCGGATTGGAGCTAATCATCTTGATATATTGTCTTTGGAGGTATAATTCTTTACATTTCTTGTTCATATGGTAGATTTCATAGTTTTAGGGTTTTTCTCTCATAATTTTATGAGATCTAGTTAGTATGAGGTCCTCTTTGGAATTATGACATCAGATCTGGACCATGAGAGGTCCATAGAGTCGTTATTTTCCAACTTTTTGCAAGTAATTAAGAAAATGGAGACTAGGTTTCCATTCCAAGTGTTATTTCTCCATTTGAGGCTTGATATTGGTTGCATGCACGCAAAGGTTTCACCTTTACGTGACTTTTCAGTGTTTAAGGGTTAGATCTATGATTTGGTTAAGCAGATATGACCTCAGGAGGTTGTTTAAGCGAGTCCATTGAGGAAACTCACTGAGTACATATGTGAACTCGACGAGTCGGACCAGGTTGCCCCGGGGTATGACTTTAGTGGTAACCCGGTGAGTTGGGAGGGGGTGACTCAGTGAGTTGAGTGAGGCTTAGAAAGAAAAGAGATTGTGAGACGATGGGACTCATCGAGTTGTCGTATGCACTCGGCGAGTCTGATTAAATTGGACAGTTGACTTTTGGTTGACTTTTAAGGTTTGTCAACAAATGAACCTTTGGGCCTGTAGAGGGGGTAGAATGCTCTTTTACCCTTATAGGGATTTGTATGAGAGAATATCCAATTTGTGAAAAGAGATTTATTTGGTGTAATTTATTATTGTGACTAGACGGAGGCTAGGGCAGTATTTCTGATATCGAGATTTACCGAGATTCCCGAGGTGAGTCTTCTCACTATACTTTACCTAGAGTGGTAATCAGAGTTACGTGATAGTGTATCGTGTATGCGATTTATGTGTTGTGATTTCTATGTGATATGTGATATGTGATATTTGATATGTGATATGTATGACTCAGAGTTTACAGTGTTAGGACCAATGGGTCCACAGAGTTATGGGACCAAGAGGGTTCCATAGAGATATTCGACCAGAGGGTTATCAGAGTTACAATCTTGAGTGGCTAATACGTGTCTATGTGGTATTTTAGGGAACTCACTAAGCATTTATGCTTACAGTGTTTTATGTATGTGTTTCAGGTATCAATGATGATCGTGGGAAGGCACCGGCGTGATCTGTACACACTAGCAGAGTTTTTGTTTATGTGATTTTTGGGACATGTTTTTAGTATGATGACATTGGATACATTATATTTGATATTAATTTATGAATGAGAGTATGTTTTAAAAATGAAAATTTTGTTTTGTAACATATGGTGTTACAAATTGGTACCAGAGCCTCGGTTTGAGGGATTCAGATCCACCTTCGGGTGTATTCAAACTCAAACTGAGGATTTGAGAAAGTTTTCATAAAATAAATGATTTTTCCCAAGAGTAAAAGGATTGAGAATAAAACTGAGGAAAACACTGTGTACGATCAGCTAGCACCCGAATGGTGATTTCCCAAAACTACCCTCACATTATGGGTTATGAGATATGTTATGATTGATATGCATGCTAGAGTAGGCTAAGTATTCTTATTAGGACTAGAGTTTCCTGATTTGGGATGCCTTAGCCTAGGGAGATTACTGCTATGGGATGCTTGAGTGGGAGTAGTTAGCAGTGAGGGTAGCTTGTGTGTGCAACAAGAGATAGAGTACTTGTGATATGGGATCCATGGAGGGGGACTTGGAATGAATATTAATGCAGTGTGGAAGGTATATAGGGCCCGTACTACTAGAAACACCGGGTCAGTGAATAGTCCAAGTAGGAATCCTTAGGATACTGGGGAGCAAGTAGGGTTGAGTTATCGAGTGCGAGTATGCTCGAGCGAGTCTCAGATAATTTTTATGTTGTATTTCAGAGACATCATGGTTGGGACACGCCACAGGCCAGGGACTAGTGCGGGGGTGCGAGCGATGAGGAGCTCCGCCAAATGATTCATGATGAGGTGGCTGCTGCCATCCGAGCTAAGATTCCAGAGATGTTCGGGTCTATCAAGACCACTCGGATTGAGACTTTTGATGAGCAGTACACTGCTCTTACTGATGTTGCTGTTGCTGCAGCCATTGCTGCTGCCAGGCCTCAGGGAGGTGACGTGTTGCTCTACCGAGAGTTCAGCAACACGAAGCCACCAGAGTTCGATGGGACTCAGGAATCGATAGCCGCGATGAGGTGGATCTCTGATATTGATCGGTGCTTCTACACATGTGCATGTCCGGTGCATCTGAGGGTATGGTTCTCTTTGAACCACCTTCTCTTGGGAGCGAAGGATTGGTGGAAGTTTGAAACAACACACTTCACTTTTGCAGAGCTTGTTGCAGTAACCTGGTAGAGGTTTACCGCTATGTTTTGAGATGAGTACGTTCCCCCGGTGGAAAGGGAACGACTGGCCCAGGAGTTCTTGACCCTCAAGCAGGGTACTGAGTCTCTTACCACGATTACCAGGATGTTTCACGAGAGGGCGATGTTTTTCCCTGAGCAGGTGTCCACAGAGCAGGCACACATGAGTCGATATCTAAGTACTCTGAGGAAGGAAATTCACGAGTTCGTGGCAAATTCGACGTATTGGATATTTGCAGAGCTTCAGGAAAATGATCGGAGGAGGGAGATCGAGCTCGAGACATAGGCCAGGGAGGAGGCCGAGTCTCAAAGAAGGATGGAGAGGCGATCGGCTCAGTCTCAGCAGGCTGCCAAGCATGCAAATCCCACTGATGCGATGTCAAGGAACCAAAAGGGCCGCACTTGTGGTAAGTGCGAAAAGGGTCATGAGGGGGTATGTAGATATGGATCTTGCTACAATTGTGGCAAGGAGGGGCATATGGCGAAGGACTGCCCCAAGGGATTTGTAGTTTGTTTCTACTGCAACCAGACTAGCCATCAGAAAGCCGAATGCCCACAACTGCGTGGGTCGGCGCAGGGAGCACCACAGTGATCTGCCCCTGCTGCGGTGTGAGCTACAGAGAGTCAGCCAGTGAAGGCTGAGGCACCCAAGGCTCATGGGAGATCCTTTCAGTTGACAACGGAGGAGGTCCGTACAACGCCTGATGTTGTGGCTGGTATATATCCTTCCATTTATTTTTGCTATTCTTGAGATATTGTGTTTATATTATGATATGTGTAGGTACTTTTGTTCTGAATTTTGTACCTGCTTTGATGTTATTTGACTCGGGTTCAAGTCGGTCATTTGTGTCTTTAGCAATCAGTCAGTACATCAATATTCAGCGGGAGGCGATGAGTCGGCCTCTGTGGGTTTCTATAGCCGATGAACGAGTGGTGTATGCTAGGGATGTAATTTAGGGATGTGTGCTTGAAATCTTCGGTGTTGAGTTTCCGATAGATCTAGTTCCGATAGCGATGGGGAACGTGTGCGTTATAGTGGGCATGGATTGGTTGAGCCGCTTCGGGGCTATTATTGATTGCAAGCGACAGTTGGTGACACTACAAGAAAAAGGTCCTTTTACGACGCGCAAACCACGACACTCGTTGGTTTATGATACGCAAAAGAGAGTGACATTAAAAATGTGTCATCTCTTCAAAAAAATTTAGGATTTAGGTCACGCATTTACTACGTGCCCTTAAATTAGTGTCTCATGTAAAAAAAGTAAAAACACGGAGGGCACGTTATAAAAAATGTGCGCCCTCTGTGAAGGTCGCTTTATATATTTTTTTTAAGGAACACGCGTCTCTCTTCTCTTCTAAGAGGGAAAATGAAATCCCAAAAAATTTTGAACCCCACTTTTTAACCTACATTCATACCGATCTGTTCTCTAACATCTATCTCATCTCCTTCATCTCCGCCCCTCACCCACCTCCACTACCTCCAACCCACATCGACTCTTTAAGTCTGCACAACGTAAGCTAGGGCTTTTTTGGATCGGTGGTTATGGTGAGGAGGAATTTGGGGAAAACAACGATGATGATGAGGAGGAAAAGATTAATTATCTGATTTCATTCTTGTTGGTGTTGATTTTCTCATTGATGTTCGATGTCTTCTCCGGTGGTGATGGTCGTCGGACACGTTACGGTTTTGTTGAAGACGCCATTGGAAAAAGCGATGGAGGTTCTGGTGCGATTTTCTAGATTATCGGTGGCAGTATTGGAGCTAGTGGTGGCTCTGGCTCCCAATCTAATGTTGGAATAGCTATTGCCATGACAGTCATGGCTGGCCTTGCCGTGGCCGCCACCCTTGTTTACTCTAATTGGTAAAAGAAGAAGAGAACATTTACAATTACTTCAATTAGTCGTCCTAATCAAAATAGATCAATCGGAACCCTAAATTTCTAATTGCATTCCCTAGGCTGGTATAGATTAGAGATACATTTACTTCACATATAGAATTTACTAGAAAAAAGGAAAGATGTTGGCCTCATAACAGAAACATCATGTATTGAGAGCACTCCGACGGAGTCACACTTCGTCACCATTATTTTCGACTTTGTCCTCTCCGACATCGTCATCCTCTTCGTCATCGTGGATTCATTTGTGATCAGTTCTATTAGTTGTTGCTTCCTCATCATCATCCTCACCAATTTCTAGGTCAGTTCCCTCATTCCTCTTTACCCCCCTTTCCAGATCTCGATCTCCAACTACTATCTTTTACTACAAAAAAATGCACTGATCTCTTGTTTCTCTACTTGCTTAGCCGATCTGTTCTAGGTTTTTTACTTCTGTATTCAAGACACCTACCTTTCACCTGATATTGTATTCCTCTTTTTTTTTCTTCAAGTTTCCAAGGGAAGAACCCCGATTTTACAAGCCCAAGGTGTGATTGCACTAAGGTATGAAAAGGATGCTACTACCCTGCCCTATTTCTTCAGTCGTTCAACAAATAACAGAGTAGGCAATTTCTCATTCATATCTCGAATTCATCTTCTCTATCAAGAAAAAGGCTTATGATTTTTCCCTTTCAGCTTATAGCTATTGGCTTAGAACTAGCTTCTATTTGGGAAGCTATCTGTCAAGCACATGTTTGAGTTTGTATTCACACCATTTGATGATGCTAGTAACCCTATCATAGCTCGGGTAAAGATGTTTAAATTAAATCCAGTTATCTTAATTCTTAACATTAAAGAATCAGATAATCATAATCATACTAAAAACCCCTTTAATTTAGTTTTTACAATTTTAATTTGACTTTTTGGATTTAAATTTTTTTAGGCAGCTTTCAACGTAGTATATATTTTAGCACTATAACTTTTTATATATATGTTATTTTTTTCAGGTGTGGACATTGTAAAAAGCTTTCACCTGAATGGAAGAAGGCTGTAATGAATTTACAAGGAAAGGTGAAGCTTGGACATGTGAACTATGATGACGAAAAGGTATTCTTGAATTTGTATTCTATTTATCTAAAACAATATTATTATTTTTTATTATTACTAACTGATTATGTTTTTTTTTTCTTTCAGTCTTTAATGAGCAGGTTTAAGGTATAAGGGTTCCCAACTATATTAGTATTTGGTGCAGATAAAGAGAGTCCAATCATTTGCCCTTGTTCAACTAGAAAAAAATGTTGCTCCTCCTGAAGTGATCGAGTTGACTAGCTCAGTGAGTTTTCCGAATCCCTTTTATAATTTTTCAGGATTTCCCTTTTTGCTCCTGGTAAAATCATGAATTTTCCATTTTAGGATGTGATGGAAGAGAAATGTGCTTCAGCTTCCATCTGTTTTGTTTCCTTCCTCCCTGATATTTTGGACTCTAAGACTGAGGGAAGGAATAAGTATATATAGATTCTTCTATCAGTTGCTGAAAAGTTCAAAAGGAGTCCTTACAGGTATAAAAATTTGATTATAGCATTTTACTTATATAAAAATAAGAGTAAATTACAAATTTGGTCCCTATGTGGCTATGATTCACTCAAAATCTCAATTGTTCCTAGATACATGAAACACTTCAGGCTTCTCCCCTTTGGAGTTCAACCAAAATTAATATATGATGAGATGAAAATTATTAGAAGACTTGGAAGGCCTTTACCACGTCATTTTGCTTTAGGTTAGTCACTCTCACTCCAAATTCTAGTTCTATATGTTAGCGAACCCGATACATATGCCCTAAATCTACGTTCAATCGATGCATTTCCTTCTCAAATCTTGTTTTCCTCCTTTCATTTGGTTGTTTCCTATTATCCTCTTATTTAAACACACATTTTTATAACTTCCCCCATTGTTTGTTTCATAGAGCTTAATCAGAGGCATTAAACATGTATGCCTTAATGTCTTCTGGCTTCATCTGATGATTCTCTCTTTTTTTGTAGTTAAATTGCTAGATATGCTTCACTTTTTATCATGAACTAAGTTCAATTTAATTTGAAGAATGTAAAGACCTGATGATTGATTTATTCTGAAATGTGATTGAGTAGACTAAATGTGTTGCCCCCAAACAATTTACTTAACATTACTTTTAATTACATATTCACTGTTTTTGTTGTTTGTTCCTCATATAAGATAACAACTTATCTACTACAACAGATGATTGTATTATTCGTCCAACCAAATGGGCTTACATCACTAGGGGCTGGTTATGCAAAGTTTCTTCTTCAAATAGTTATTCTTATTCAATATGTTCCCAGATTATACCGATTCCTGCCTCTTCTTGCTGGACAATCTTCAAGTGGATTTATATCTGATGTTAGGGGTAAGGAAGGAATTTCAGCAGTGGAACTTATTCCATCTGATGGAGGAGATGCCTGAGGAGGGGCATTTTCAGGGGCATTTTTGGAAATATGAATTTTTTCCCATATATCAGAACAGTTAGTCTTCAAAAAATTCATAGAGGTACTTCCCTCATTTTACTTGTGTATGTGTTGCTATGCCCCTCATTTGAGCCCGGCTACTTTGTAGGTTGGCTATTTGTTGTCTAAGCTTGATCAATTAGCGTGCTAAAATCTTTGTTGCTGCGTGATCAAACCACATGTTACCACTTATGAATAGTTAGACGTAATAAAAAAACTTAGGAATCCTAATTTAAGTAGATATTTATTGCACACCAATTGTTTGATGATATGCCTTAGTGACAATGTGTATGATTTTTTTCTTCTTATATGATAGTTGTCTGAGATTGTATCATATTCATATGTAGCATTGAGTTACTTTTTTTGTTTGACTTGTTTCAGATTACGAAGTTCCCATTTCCTACTCCCCCAGAAGCTAAATCATTGGTTGAAGCAGAGGTTTGTTCAAAGTCTCTTGAAGCTAAATCATTTTGTATACTCTAATGCAGATTTTGACAACGTTAAAGAGGAATTTATGTATACCAGTAGCATGAAAAATACGCTTCTTGAACTCAACTGGAGATATGTAGAATTGGCCAAACGAATTGAAAAAACTGGGGTTTTCGCTATTGCTGTTCATGGAAGGTAATAATTTATAAAAAACTGATTGAATTATGTCTGTTTGTCATTGATTTATAGGGGCGTTTCTTTTTGACTTAATACATACACACTTTAGTGTTTGCCCTATATTCAAATATCAAATTCTAAGGCCTAGAATTTACACACAATAACATACAGTAGGTAAGTGTCACATAGAAGGGTAAAATTGTCATTTACTCACATTCAGGCAATTCATGCAGTCTAAACAAGAGATAGTCTTACGTATACAACACTAACTCCAGACATACATCATTAATCATATTCAACACTTAATGGAAAAAATAAAATGCCCTAAGATCTGTTTAATTCAGCAATACCCTTTTTCCCACAATCAATGCAACATTAATTAATTTTTAATCTCCCACATTAATTAAGAGACATTGCATGTTTTTTGTTAAGTGAATTGCAGAAAAGTTTCAGACAGACTAAGAGATCCTGCAAACTGGAGTGAAATTGCACATGTTGTAGATATCATGTTTTTTGTTAAGTGAATTGAAGGTGATTTTGGTTCTTGAAACGAGACTCAAGATATCATATTTTGGCATGGCTAGAAGCTTTGGAGGAAACGAGACTCAAGCAAAAGTAAACACACAGAGATTTGTTGGCACATAGTAAGCTAGATGATGCAATTGTATATAAATGAGTTCATTTTTTTATAACATTTACTCACTTTTGGAATAATTATTTGTATTTAACATATTAGTGAAATGAATTATCTTTGTTATTTATGGTATTTTATTTTGTATTATGAGATTTTTAATGTATTATTTAATTTGAAAATTAATAAATCTATAAATAATTTTTTTTAAAACATTTAAAATTATGATACGCAAAAATGCGTGTCATCTTCATTTATGACATGACCTTTCTTGACAGGGGCTTTCTTGATACGCATTGCGTGTCATTAACATGTGCGTTGTAAGGTTACGACACACGAATGCGTGTCGTCTTCCTTTATGACAGGGCCTTCCTTGATACCCATTGCATGTCGTAAACGCGCGTCGTAATTGCGCATTGTAAATGAGCGTCATAAATGCACGTCGTCTTTCTTTATGACAGGACCTTCCTTGACGCGCATTTGCGCGTCGTCTGAGCCTTTTATGACACGCAAAGAGCATTGTAAAAGGCTGTTTTTCTAGTAGTGTGACGATACGAGACCCTAGTGGGGGAGTGTTGATCGTATATGGCGAGGGTACCCAAAGTGAGACAGCGTGTTGTTCAGCTGCCAGAGCCAGACAAAGTCTTCAGCAGGGTTGCAAGGGGTTTGTAGCCTATGTGTTGGATACCCGAGCAACTGTGGGTAGGTCGAGTTTGGTTAATGATTTCCCAGTAGTGCGCGAGTTTCCAGATGTTTTTCCAGAGGAATGTCGGGTGTACCTCCGGAAAGGCAGGTGGAGTTTTGCATTGATTTGGTTTCGGGAGCAGTGCCTATCGCCAAGGCGCCTTATCGTGTAACTGCCCGGAATTTTCAGGTATTTATTTTGGATTTTTTATGGAAATTGTGAGTGGACTCGGCGAGTTGGAGCCCAGAATCGCTGAGTAGGATCGCGGATTTGGGCACGGGTTCGCGTTCGGACTCGATGAGTCCAAGAGTGGCATCGGTGAGTCCACGTTGTGTAAAGAAACCCTAATTTCCGGGGTTTGCAGCCTATTTAAAGGGCCTTGTGACCGTCATTTGTGCTCACCCAACCCTTAGAGAGAAACCCTTGTGTGCTTGAACATTTTGAGAGAGAAAGGAAGCATTCTTGACCCTTGTGTGTGTCATTTAGCAAAGAAGGTGAAGATTCTAAGCAAGAGGAAGCAAAGGAGGTTGCTATTTTGTGGATTTGAAGCTTACATCATCAATCTAGAGGTATGATTTTGGATTACTTTCTGTTTTGTGATGAATAATGGGATCTAGGGTTTCTTATGGACATTTATGGGATGATTTGATGCCAAATAGTTCCCTTCTTGTGTTGAGGCTCTGGATCTGGATCCATAGAGGTCCAGAGAGCCTCATTCTTTAACCTTTATGTATAGCAATGGAGTTTATGACCTTGGGTTGTAGTATTTGAGAAAAAAACATCATTTATGGTCATATAGAGATTGTATGTGCATCAAGATAGTGACTTTACATGCTAAATATGCTTGGAAGGACTGGATCTATGGGTTAATGGACTGGATCTGACCTTATGAGCAAGTTTGAGTCTTTGCATGGCACGGACTCGCCGAGTCCGAAGAACAGACTCGGTGAGTAGTATGAATGTTGCCCGACCACACAGCGAGTGGTCTTGCCGAGTTGGGGAGGGTTGACTCAGTGAGTCAGGGGGGAAATCTTAGTGGACAGGTGGATTGAGTCAAGCTGGACTCGCCGAGTTGTTCTTGAGACTCGACGAGTTGAGTCGTGGTGGCCCCACAACTCATGCCTGGTGGAACGCGTCGATTTAGGAGGATACTCGATGTGTCAAGGGAGGATTTCAGGGAAATCAGTGTATACGCTTAGACTCGCCGAGTCGCTATTGTGCACTCGTTGAGTCCGGTCAAAGTTGACCGTTGACCATTGACCTAAGTTGACTTGTTAAAGAGTAGTCAACCTTAGTTGGGAAAGTGTTAATTAGAGATGTATTGTGATATAGGAGGACTTTAGCTCGGTTTTGATCGAGCACTAGTGATTTCAGGATTCACGAATTACCGAGACACGAGGTGAGTCTTCTCACTATACTTTACCTTGAGTAGGTAACCAGAGTTATGTGATAGAGTGTTTGTATGCTATGTATGTTATGTGTTGTACTGCATTATTTCTATGTGATTTATGATGTGCATGTTTACAGAGATAGAACCTGAGGGTTCACAGAGTTTAGGTGCACGGACCCATAGAGTTATAGCCTCGAGTGGCTAATAGGTGTTATATATGGTATTTTGGGGAACTCACTAAGCTTTGTGCTTATAGTGTTTGATGTTATTGTTTCAGGTACTAGTGATGACCGCGGGAAAGCGCCGACTTGATCCGTACACACACACAAAACGGAGTTTATACATTTTTGATCTTGGGATTTTGTATTTACTTGAATTGGATAATTAATATGGTTGTTTTATGAATATTAAATGAATTATGTTTTACGAAAATTTGAAAAATTTGTTTTGAAATTTACGGTGCTACAATTTGGTATCAGAGCCTTGGTTTGAGGGATTCGGGTACACCTTTGGGTGTATTTGAACTCAAACTGAGGATTTGGAAAAATATTTTCAAAAGAAAATTTAACTTTTCTAAGAGTAAAAGATTTTTAGAGAAATTTAAGGAAGAAACGTGTGTACGATCAGTCAGCGCCCGAACGGTGATTTCCCAAAATACCCTTATATTATATGTTTATGGTGTATTCTCTTGTTAGAATAGGCTAGGTATTCTTATTAGGACTAGAGTGCCCTGATTTGTGATGCCTTCGCCTAGGGATATGTGAGCTGCTATGAGATGCTTGAGAGCGAATAGGTAGCAGCGAGGAGCTTATGAGAGATCTGTTAGAGAGTGATAGAGTACTTGGAATTTGGGATACGAAGAGGATGATTTAGGGTGTTACTGAGATGGTGTGGACAGTAGTATTGGGCCTGTACTACTGAAAACACCGGGGCGGTGCACGGTCCAAATAAGAATCTTTGGAATACCAAGAATCAAGGAGGGATGGGTTGTCGAGTGTGAGTATGCTCGAGCGGATTCTAATTTATCGTATGTTGTATTTCAGAGGTTGATCATGGTGAGGACACGTCATATGTCGGAGGGTGTCGGGGCTAGTGATGAGGAGATCCGGCAGATCATTCATGAGGAGGTGGCTGCGGTCATCAGAGTAGAGACACCAGAGATGTTCGGGTCTATTAAGACCGTGCTGATCGAGACTTTCGATGAGCGTTATGCTGCTCTTTCGGAGGCTGCGGTTGCGGAGGCCACTGCAGCTGTTGCTGCTGCTAGGCCGCAGGGTGGTGTCGCGTTGCTGTTCCGGGAGTTCAGCAACACGAAACCACCGGAGTTTGATGGGACTCAGGACCCGGTGGCGGCCATGAGATGGATTTCTGACATAGAGGGGTGTTTCTTCACTTGCTCATCTCCTGAGCATCTGAGAGTACGGTTCGTGCTGAACCAGCTTTGCTTGGGAGCGAAGGACTGGTGAAAGTTTGTCAAAACACATTTTTCGCCTGCTGAGCTTGCGGCAGTGACCTGGGAGAGGCTCAATGCCATGTTCCGAGATGAGTATGTTCCCCAGGTGGAGCGGGAGCGGTTGGCCCAGGAGTTTCTGACCCTCAAGCAGGGTATTGAGTTCTGTTACAGTGATCACCAGGATGTTTCACGAGAGGGTGATGTTCTGCCCTGAGCACGTGTCCACTGAGCAGGCACGTATGAGTTGATATTTGAGTATTTTGAGATGGGACATTCGGGAGTTCGTGGCGAACTCCTCATACCGGACATTTGCCGAGCTTCAGGCAAATGCCCGGAAGAGGGAGATTGAGCTGGAGACCTAGGCTAGGGAGGAGGCTGAGTCTCAGGGGAGGGATCGGCGACCGGTACAATTCCAGCCGGAAGCCAAACGGGCCAAGCCCGCTAATCCCAAATCAGGGAGCCAGAAGGGCCGCACTTGTGGAAAGTGCGGCAAGTGTCATGATGGAGTGTGTAGAGCGGGATCTTGCTAAAAATGTGGCAAGGAGGAGCATATGGCCAAGGACTGCCCCAAGGGGTTTACAGTATGTTTTCACTGCAACCAGACCAGACACCGGAAGGCGGAGTGTCCGTAGTTGCGGGGATCAGCTCAGGGAGCACCTTAAGGATCTTCCCCTGCCGCCATCACAGCTACCAGGAGTGGGACAGTGAAGGCCGAGGCGCCGAGGGCACGTGGGAGAGCATTTCAGTTGACCGCAGAGGAGGTCCGCGCAGCGCCCTATGTCATGGCTGGTATGTATTCTTTCGTGTATTTATTATAATGTTGAAATATTATGCTTATATTATGTTATGCGTAGGTACTTTTC